CCATTTTGCATTCATCTGCCAAGAAAGTGAAGAGAAATATATCAAGTTTGTCTTTAAAAGCCAAACTATATCAAAAGTTTAATAATTTCACTGAAATACAAATGAAAACAATTAAGAAAGTAGCACTGCAGGTACTCTTACTACTCAGTATTTTAGGAAAAAAACACATAGTACTGTTAAGTTAGCAGTAAATTCAAAATAAATTTTCAGGTCCAAAGAAACAGAGTAATTTTAAGTGAGAAGAGATACATAAAAATGAAAATTGTGTATTTTGGAATGTAGCACTGAACTCCTATCTCAGAAAAACAATCTCCTGTGATTCTTCCACACTTGCACAGAGTTCCACACCTTTGCTAGGACTCATATCTGTCACATCAAAAGGAATTAATATTGTTTGATTTTCTTATTAATATGTCAAATCATACAATTAACATACAGAAGAGTTATGCATATTGCTTCCATGTAGAGACACAATACTCATATATAGATTTAAACAAAAAAGGTGTTGCACTAAATTTTTAATATAACAATTTTAAGTGTTTATCACAGTCAGGTTTTCTAAAGTCCAGTCGGGATTTCAGACCACAAAAACGTTCCTAGAGATTGTAACATGGACATAATCAGAAATATGAATGTACCTGAGACTACCTCAGAAGCTTTGACATTTACAGCAGATAATAGCTCCAATGCAAGGATAAAAAGTGATAATTCATTTTTTAAATATATACAGGAACCTTCCAAATCAATCACACAATCCATCATATCTCAGCCTGGACTCTTAATCTTCTTGTAAATATAGGGACTGAAAGAGATGAACCGGCTTCATCAGATCTTTCTTCCATCACAAAATTACTACTGTCATTGGCACTGACACAAAAATGACTAATTTCAGCTAGGATCTGTAACAACTACTAAAAAAAGGCTACACTGCCCACCAAATACACAAAAAAAACCCAACTGTGCTACTACTCCTGAAAAAAACCTTGTTTCCATTTGAATGTTCATATTTGCAAGGGTCCACAAAGGAGCTGAAACCGAACTGCAGAGCAACTATGCACAGTCTCCCCTAAAATTCAGTGTGTTCACAAAGAAGCCACTGAGAAAAACCACAGACATGAGACCACAACCTACAATGACTTCTCAGTCGTCATTCATTGAGCAACACTGGTCATGGGTGAAGAGAATCAGAACTGAAAGCTTCCAGAAAGGTCTCCTCAAAAGAAATCTGAAATTAAGAGGCTTATTTTGCTGAGGTGAACTGTCAAAGTGAACTACACGAAACAACACCTGTAAAATAGCATTTACACTCTCTCAAATCACAAAAAACTCAGTAAGTTTTTGCTTCTGAAAATCTGGAAGGTTTGAGTCACAAAAGAGGAATTTTGTACAACATACAAAAGCTGTAAGAAAAAAAAGTCTTATTATGACTTGCCTCTTCATTAGCTTATATCACAACTTGTAGTTCATAAAGGAGTTAATATTCTAATATTTGATAACTATTTCAGATTTTTAAGTCAAACACCTTTTCCAGTTACAAAGGAAAATTTGGAAGCTGAGCATTTTAACATTAACTTCCTACATCAGGAACTATTTGGGTTATTTCCTCATGTTTTCTAAAAACAAAGAAACATCAAAACCATCACCATATTCTAAATGTTGCCTCACTGAGGCCTTACAGTTTACACTGATGCCGAAAACACAGATATTCTTTAGTGAGGTTTTTCCAAGAAAATGAAAGCTGTATTACATTTTAACAGCAAACTGCAAGACATATATTGGTTTCTCTACTACCTCACATACTCAAGTTTTGGCATCTGATGTCTAGCATATCAAATGTAAAGGCTTAATACCACCACTGGATTAGAAAGAAAGAGATGTAACAGCTTCATGCCAACAAGTTTGAACCAAAGAAGCTCTTCTACCAGCCAGGAAAAGTTTTGCTGCTTGTCAGCTTGCACGAAGGTTCCAATGACCTTCCTTGTACCATGAACCCAATTTATGGAGAGAGAAATCTCACATCTGTACCTCAACATATTGGGAGGTACATTACAGAGATATAAAAGTTTAATTTTCTCTCCTAAACCATACCTGTTTAAACCAATAAAGAACTAACGCCTCTTTTACTCGCTCAAGTGTCGTCAGTAGTTATAAAACGTTGCACTGTTTATGCAGAATTCATTTAGAATGCAAGGATGTGACTTACAAATGTCTTTGACTCATTCACATAAATATGCATGCATGCCATTTATAACAGTAGCCTTGATGAGAACACACAGTGTAACTGGCTGCAAGAAACGCTTAAGAGGTTTACATTAAAACAGAATATAGAGCGGTGGTTAGAAATCACAGAACAGGTGACACCTTCCTCTGATAACCTGGTGATAAAAACTGTAGGGTATGATGTATAGGTTGTGGTGTCGCCACTTCACTCTACAGTCTGAGCAGTATTCTTTGGATAATGCTCAGTTTGCAGCAAGACATAATGCCCAAGGCAGACCACATATAAAAACTGTGATTCATCTAAAAAAAAAATTGCAACGGCCTCCTCAATTCTTCACTTCAAAACAAAGACATTTCGACTTAATTTTGGGTTAGAATGTTTGTAATACAGACCTTTTAAAAGTAGAATTACCCCTTGGTTTGACAGAGTAATTTGCTTCAACTAGTAAAATACTGTCCCTACTGTAAGACTTACAATTTAACAAAAAAGCCCAAGATGCAGCAATAAAAGGGCATAAACAGAAAGTTCACAACCTCTTATGAATTCCTGTGATCACAGAATCATTCTCTGATAAAAATATTGATAAGACTTTCAGGCACCATTATTGCTAAGCCTTGAAGTATATTACTCTTAGAGACCAGAAAACTGCATGTGTTGGTAATTAAAGGAAGTAAAGTCAAAGGGCTTTCAAGAACACGAGAAAAATTATATTGAGAAGAACCTATACTGAAAAAACAATAATTCTAATTTCAATGTTAATTATTAAATTTACTTTTTTCACAGGCATATGAAGCCAAGAAAGTCTAACTGCAAAACCTGTACTACTATAATGGCTTTGATAATATTTTGATTTATTAATCTGTTGGTCATATACAGATACCTGGTTCCACATGAAGTCCGATAAAGACAGGAAGACATTCATAAAACCTGCAGACATCAAAACTTGCATGGCTGTGTCCAGACTACTTACCTGCAGACAATTCTTTTCCAGAAATTGTTTGTTCAAGCACTTAAGAACACATTTTAAAAAGTCTCCCTACAAATACAGTTGCAGGCACAGATAAAAGGCTATTGCCAAAAGATGAACTTGCCAAAGAACATTTCTATTTAATGCAGTACAGAGCAACATCTAGCTGTCTATGAATTGATGGCAACATCAGGTAATCTGCATATATACACATCATATAGCACAATTCCACGTGGCCTTCATTACTTGCTAAGGCCAAGGAAGACCTTCCACAATATGGCCAACTGCTGGTTGCAACCAGCTATTTTATAGACACCTTCCACCAACTGTGATAACTCTTCCAGAATGTTCCTATCAACATATAATTGCATTCATCCTAGATACTGCCAAATAGACTCAAGCTGCTATGGCCATTCCTCTAGCAGTAATTTAAGTACTGTTATAGAGAATTAAAACAGAATCTATCATACAGAACAGACAGAAACAATGTCCAACAGCATGCTGTAAACCAGAATTTCTTAATAGTAGAACACATGTAAAAAGCAGAACTTGTCCACCAATAAAGAAAAAATCAGGTAAGACTTTGCACTTTTATACCAATGATACACAAATGTACCACTCAGACAACAAAACAGCCTCACCATGCAACACTGCTTTTTCAAAATAGAGCTAATGTTTACTTCAGACCTACATTAAAAACCCACATAGAGCAGATGGAAAGGCTGCTTGCCAACAACAACAAAAAAAGATTTAAAAAAACCCTCAGCCTTTTAAAAGCCAGTTGAACTACTGGAAACAACAGAAAATCAAAACCACCCACCCTCTGCACATGCATTTTTGAAGGTCCTCAAAAGCATTCACCAAAAAGTCCTCTGCTAGAGCTACAAACCCCAGCACCCCTCAGGAATTACACTGACAGCCACGTTATCATTGCCCACAGTTCAAGTAAAGAGGTTGAAGTGGATGTTGGTTTACCCTGGAATCAATAGGGTGTTTTGTTGTAATTACTTTCTAGGGCTCAAGTAGTGCTTACACTGCTGTTTAAGATGTTCTAATGTAAAACTGCACCCCGTATATGGCTCAGAGTAACAGGGCTTTGTGGTATCTTTTCTGCTGTTCAAGCCAAAGGTGAAAGCTTGTGGTCTGTACAGATCCACAAAATGATGCTGAGAGAATAAAGACACGATTTCACACCAGTTGCAGTGTTTGTATAAGTCTGTGATGTCACAGAGGTGAAAGAATTACACATTTTTTAAATTTAATACACTGGACACATTTCAGAAAAATTGAGTTAATTATAAAATATCTACCTATGACTGGTATACATGCACTCTCAATATTAACTAGTAACACAAACTGAAAACAGGTATCTTTCCATAACTTCAGGAAGACTGAACCACAATTTATCTCAACATACCAAAATGCACAGTCATCCTCTTGGACAGACATTGTTCCAAGCCTCCTCTGTCAGTATGAAAAAAGGATAGCTACATATGAGTTAAATTCTCTTTCTCACTTCCTAGTACTTAGTACTCCAGGCTGCCACTAAACCAAATAGCTATTGCAAGTTGCTTTTGTAACAAAAAAAGAAATTATTAGAATTAAAGAAGTATTACAGTAGCATAACTTCCAACATTTTTTATCTTTTTTTCCTTTGAGGGGGGGAATAATTTCATAGCCAGTGAAAATGTAAACCAAATAAAACCAACATGAAATTGTTAACAGGATGATTCCTATTGAATTATATATATTAGCATCAGGTTATCAAGAATTTCCTTTTTGGAAGAGAAGAATTAGAAAAGTGAAGCTTACCTGCAGAAGCACTGTGGGATCTCTCCTTGACCATACAGAGGAAACAAAAAAGGTGTATTGCCATAGCGGCCAAGGCACTGAAGAAATTTTTTGGTTGCCTGAAGACCATCAAGAGTGCTGCAATCAGTCTCAGAAACCATTGCAATAGAGTGAAGAATGAAGTGCTGCAAGCTGGGGGTTAACTTCCGTGTTCTTAAAAACTGAGCAAATGTACTGTTCTCATAGTCTGAGGAAAAAGCAAATTTTGTTAAATTAATTCCAACCTAGACGAGTCTGGGATTCTGGATTCTGGAATTCTTAACTAATCATAGAATGGGTTGAGTTGGAAGGGACCTTCAAGATCATCCAGATCCAACCCCCTGCATGGGCAGGGACATCTCTCACCAGAGACCACGTTGCTCCAAGCCCCATCCAACCTGCCCTTCAACACTGCCAGGGATGGGGCAGTCACAGCTTCCCTGGGCAACCTGGGCCAGGCTCTCACCACTCTCACAGTGAAGAATTTCTTCCTCATGTCCCACCTAAATTTCCTCGGTTCCAGTTTTAATCCATTCCCCCTTGCCCACTCAGTCCCTGTCCTTGTCCAAAGCCCCTCCCCAGCTTTCCTGGAGCCCCTTCAGGCACTGGAAGCTGCTCTAAGGTCTCCCTGGAGCCTTCTCTTCTCCAGGCTGAGCACCCCAACTCTCCCAGCTTGTCTCCAGAGCAGAGCTGCTCCAGCCATCAGATCATCTTGTGGCCCTTCTCTGGACTCTCTCCAGGAGCTCCATGTCCTTGTTTTGGGGGCTAACCTCACTCAAAATACTCCCAGTTAATTTCCAGGCTATTTTAAAACGTAGGAACACACCTGAAATTACCTGTAATGAATAAATCATTTTAGTCTAATAAGTTCTTCCTCCTTCAGGATTTTCTAATGAGTTCATTACAGACTCTTTCTCCTAGTCTGCCCAGACCATTCTAAATAGTGACCAATTCTCTCTTGCAGATGTTGAAAATAATTATCTCCAGTGTTTTTACCTTTATCTTGTTCAAGTAACCAACCCAGCATCTTAACAGCTGGTTGTTTTTTTTAAACACTGGATGATGCCAAATATAAGGCCTACACAAGCTACTGTCAAGGTAGGAAAGCATTGATATGCTTCAGTCTGAAACCAATATCAATAGTTCAACTATTCCTCTTTCCTCATTACTTCTGTTTGACAGATTTTTCTTCTTTTTTTGCCTTAATTTACTTTCAGACTCCAACAACTAAAGACATCACTTCGTTCTTGGTACACTGAGGTACGTAAACCCAAAACAGAGAGGGGGTTTCCATCACCTTTCTCCTGTTTGCCAACTTCCTCTTTGATTTGATGCTCATTATTCTTTGCACATTATGGCTCAAATTGATTCAGATTTTCTCTCATCTAATAAACCAACATCTGATAAAGGCACTTTGAACTTGCCTTCTGCAAAAAAAGGCATGACACTACTTTGAAAGATTGAGAAAATGAGACTTTTAATTTCTGATTTTGTGGCAACATATTGTGAAGATTTACATATTACCCCCCCAAAAAACAGACAAGAAAAATAAGGTCAATCACATCATATTAAAAAATTCCTGGGATAAGGCAGGAAACAACTAAAATTGATAAAACATGTTTTGCAACCTTGCTGTAATACGTAATTTTGCTGTTAAGAAAAATGTAAATAATAAATGATATGGGAACCAGAAGAGTCAGTGATAGGCAGAAGAATTTAACATGGATGTGAAAAGGTCACAAAAAGGTCAAAGCATTCTTCAAAAAGGAATTAATAAAAATTAATTGTGTGAAAACACAGGAGAGCTAACAAAATTGTGCATAACTGAATGAACTCATAAGAAGAGAGTGTACACAATGAAACACTACCTTGGTATTCATCTGGGTGCTGTTCATAGTCCAAACAGAATGTCAGAAATTTCATTAGCATCCTCTTTTCCACCATAGTGAGCTGTCTGCTGTTGAAGACATCTGCCCTAGAACAAGGTACCTGGAAAATATTTTTTACTAACTTCAGATCCTTTCCATAGTCTGGATAGGAAAAGCATCAGGCAGCACTATAGTCTGATTACCTAACAAATATTTTAAATTATTATGATTTTGATACTTTTCTCACATTTTAATTTATATTTTCTACTATAACAATAATAAAAGTTACCTATTTTCCACAATGCATTTCTAAATCTTGTTTAGCCTCTTCTCCTTTTTATTTCCCTTCAAATTCACAGGCAGAGCTAATCAAAAGAGCCTGTGCTAATTAACTCTGCCAAAATCTCCTGCTGCCATGAACACACTGACCACTTTTCTTCTACGTGGCAGAGAGACAAGTTTATGCCAGGAATGTGAAAACCTAAAATCTGTGATTTTAGTTGGTTGTTTTTTTAAATACTTAAATGTAACACATGCAAACGCCTTCCCATTCCAGAAATTACCTAAAAAGCAGAGTATTAAGGAAAAGTAATAGTTTATTGTCACAAAACTCTCAAAAAAAGCCAATTTAAGTTCCTTGACTTGAAAAAGATGAGATGAAACATATGCAATACAGTATTTTACAATACCTGCTCTACTTTTCCTTCTCGAAAGGCAAGAATTCGTGTTGCATTTTTGAACTCTGCATATCTGCTCACATTTGACTTAATCAGAAGATCAATTAACAGACCTCGGGAATAAAGCAACTGCACAGTGAAGGAAAAAAGAAAATGGTGAGTACAGAGAAAGCACTTGCACCAAAAGGAAACAGTGATACCAACAACATTGATTTGTAAAGTGTTTTCTGTACCTATTTACCAGTACACAGTAAAGTAAAACCTGAATAAATATCAAGATGTAGTGTGTACAAAATGATCTTAAATTAACTGAAGACACCATATGAGTGGAGGAGACAAGACAGCCCAGAGAAGGGGAAGGGAGAAGCTGTCAGCCTACTGCTCATTCAGCTTTATTAGCCTGGGACTCATAGTGTCAATTTTTTGTATTGTCATCTTGGATAATCTCTTCATATTGTATGCTCTATCTCCTTGACCACTGTATCTTTACAATGTTAATTTCCTAATATCAGTAAAGTCCATGACACTGTCTGTGTAAATCATCACTAGTTGTTTCTTAAATTACCTGAAACGATAATGGCCCATTTTCTAAATGTAAATTCCTTAAACTTCCACTTAAGGTTTAGTCACATTCTGTTATGTTAATTTATGATTAACACAAAGTCTACCTTTCCTCTTTCTATAAGCCACATATATTTTATGCAATATTGAAAGGACAGAAATGTAACTGTTAACAGAAGACATCTGTCAGAATTGCAAAGTATTGGAGACGAGTTTAAATTTGTCTCAAGTCTTGTGGCCCTGAGTAACAGAATTTGTGTGATCACACTGGAATTTTCAAGATAAAGGTTTGCTGGAACCCTAACGAGGACACTGAGAATGCCTGTGTCCCCACACTGAAGAGAAACCAACACAAACTGCTACTTGTGCCTTGATGACTACTCTGTCAGAAGTTCTGGAATTCACTGCATTTAACACAGCAGCACATAAAAGGATACAAAATAGTATCTGCTTAACCACTGCACACTATAATTTTCATGATGTCATTCTAATGAGGCATGAAAGAGCTATCTACATTTGGAACACAAACTGTGAAATAATGCATTTTGTAGTGTCTCCACAAAGAATTTAATAAATTATTGAAGAAAGTTTAGGGTTTTTTCCAGCTTCCAGAGGTTTGAAAGAAATCACTTCATGCATAATATGAGAAATAAGCACTGAACTTTGAAATAACTTCCCAATGGAGAGTACATGGAATAGCCTGAAGCACACAAGTTAAGAAAAATTTCCATGTAACTTGCATTTGCAGGGCCATGTCCCTACACTTTAAACTACATAAAAGGCAGATTTTAAAAGCAGTATAACAAATACATCAGACTAATACTTTTTCCCTAGAGTAAAACACAAACTAGTAGGAATTCAACACAATAATAAGTAACTTTAATCAGCTTTTATGTTACGAATTAATTCTAACTATTTTTTCTTTCCAATGAAATACATCACAGTTCAATGCTTCAGTTGCCAGAGCACCAAGATCAGTATAGACAGTCAATGAGAATTTCATTTGAAAATCTAAAACCCAGGAAGCAATTCAATAGAAAAACTACTGTTCATTTGAAAAACATAAAAAATCTGCATGTAGATTGATTTTCCTTGTTTAAAAATACTATTCCTCTAATGGTACTATTTAAAAAGAGCAATTTTGTAGATAATACTTACATTTGCTTCCATGGACATAGTTCAGAGCTATGCTGTACAGTTATGAACACTGAAAAGCACATATGAAATAGCTCTTTTTTGTTTTAAAGTTACTAGTTCTTGCTTCTCAAGAGCATCTTGTTTGCCTCAAAGGCACCGTGTCAGGCAAAGATATTTTTTTCAATTCCAACATTTTAGGAAAAGTAAATATAATATGAAAAGAGTAATTCAGTTCCTACCTTGGAAACTAAATCAATATTAAACCTTCTGCCTTCTCTAACAATTTGGGAATAAGACACCTTCTTTGGTTCTTGGGCAGAAGTTTCTGAGGCTGCACCTTCAGTTTTTCCGGACTCCAGGACGGACTCGCCTGACGTAGTACCAGGAGAACTTTCATTCTCAGAGGTAATTCCTGTATCATTCCCTTCCCCTGGGCTCGCTGGCTCCGTGTCTGGCTCCTTTCCTGGTTCCTGGTTCTCTGCCTTGGGCAAGGTGTTCTCTCCTCCTGGGCACTCCTTTTCTGACACCCCAGCATCCCCCTCAGCACCAGAGGCTCCAAAGGCAGGCAGCTTTGGCAGTGCCCCCACTTCTTCAACACCTTCAGCTGAATCCTGACTGATGAAAAAACAAGAATGGGGGAAAACATCTTTTTTAAAAGTCTTAAATGCTAAGAAAAGATTTAGGATTTCTTTATTCTGGCGAAATCAGGTGTATCACCCACTAAAGAACTTCAGTTATCTGACTGCAAAGCTATAATTCAAGAGGAGAATTTTTATACGGGGAGAAAAAAACTGATCAACAAAAACTAGAGTTCTTATTTTACATGGACTCAAAAGACAGAATGAGTTTTATGTGAAAATTAGAAGTCTTGTGGTGATACACAATACACAGCTACATGTGTACATACAAAAGAAATATAGTATTTAAAAAAAGAAACAGTGACACAGTTTTACTAGGTTTTCCTATGGATTAAAAAACTCTTTTGAAACTGAAATCCAAAAATGTATTTAAGTCATTAAACTCAGAAACTATAAAAATCAAGCTCAGTGAAGAAAAGTGATTTACCTGACTGAGACTGCTTTGCATCTGTTATTATAGTACGTCCACAAGGGAAACATGCTATTTTAACCAGAAGTTGAAGTAAAACTTTCATATTAGTTGTTCAACACTGACCTTGCATTTGAATCAGCTGTTCAAGGACCAGCCACACAGAACAAAAGTTCCTTCATGCAGGAATGGTATTTTTATGCAAGTGTTGGCTATTTGTGCATGGCAGATGAAGGCAGCCAGTCAAAAGCAGGGGACATTACCACACAACATTTACTCTGTATAGTCCATTTCCTTTTCACAACAGTTCTTTGTAATTCATCTCATAAAGCAGACCTCCTTTTTTAATCTCCTCTTTTTCTCTTGAACTTCAATGACATATACCTTAGAAAGTAGCACTGTTAAAATTAGAATTTTAGTTTAGACTCCCAGCTGAGATGAATCAAATAATTGTCATTGTAACTGAAAGGAGCAGAGCAATAATTTCACACTCCCTTTTTATCTCTACACTACAAGCCATTAATGACGGAATAAACAATTTAATCTTGGTTGAAAACTAATGAACTATGATTTTAAAGGTGACCTACAACCATACGGTACAAAATTTCAATAACAGGATAGTTAAAATTCACTGAACAGTAAGGAATTACTCCACATACTTATAAAAATACTCATGCTACATCTGGAGCCTTGCAGACAGAAGCAGGGGGCAGGATTTCTGTTAACAGAGGGAACAAAAACCTTGTGTCCTTTAAAAGTTGCTTCTCACTTAGAAACTCAAGGGAGCTCCCCTGTGTTCATGAAAATTAGAGTTTGGAGTAATTCCCTCAACTTGTGCACAGCCACCAGGAAGCACTTACTCCTGGATGGGGTAAAATATTGCCCTGGGAAACACAGGAACTGCCGTAAGGAAGCACTAATGAAAGAAGTCTGCTTCTGTAGATTAATTATGTCTTTTTGTAAGCATTAAATAATTATAAAAACTCAAAGAAAGAGAAGTACTTTGTCAACTGCTTTTTTAGAAAGTAATCTCTGCTAAAAAAGCAAATTCAGGTAAATTAAATGTTGGCATTCTGATTGGATTTTTTATTTTTTTAGGAATTTTCAACTTCATGTTTGTGAAAACTGCAAAAGCTGTTGCAAATAATGCAGCAACTATTTCAAATCAAAAGAATGAAGCTTTTATTTAACCCATCCTAAAGCTTTTTGTAACACAACAATTCAGAGGAAAATTTTCTTTCTACCTTCTCTTAAACTCAATGTACGGTTCAAAGTAATTTAAAGCGTATTTGAGTATTACCTTTTAAATCAAATTTGGATTCACAATGCACTGTCTTTTTTATGTATCAGTCTGAAAAAGCAGTGTAACAGAAATGTTATATTCACATAGTTTAAATCTCTATTCAATTCCCATTAATGACTACCTAAATCTGCATGATTTGCAGCTCCACACATTTTCTCATGAAAGCCTAAAAACTGTATATAATCTAAATTCACTACATCCTTCCTATAGGAACAAATATCCCTGAATAATGTAAGAACGTCTATAAAAATCACTCAAATTAAACTTTTGCACAGACAATTCTTCTCCTAATTCAGAAAAAAATAATACATCTGCAGACAAATTGTTGTGTAAATTTAGAATATTATCTTCCACCATTCATCAATTAATGGTACTAACAAAGGAATATCTTAAAATGAATGTGTCTTATTAATGCCTTGTAACAGCAACCCCTTCAGATAGGTCAAATGAAAAATTGCCAACCAGCTGGTTAATTTATTCAGCACAGGTGTTCACTATTTATTTTTCAGCCATTTGCCTTTTTTCAATACAGCTTGTTGTAGACACAGTATTCTTTCCCTTTGATGGATGCACTTTGTTCTAAGGCCATTCATTTCAGATTTGCACTGTGTATATTATACTGCTACCCAGCTGTTTATTCTTTCAAAATAAATGTTTAATGGTTACTTCATAGGAGTTATAAAAGTTAAGCAAAACCAACAGAATCTAGCCAGAACGTGTAAATTGTCAGGAACGCAATAATTGACTCTCTCAGAAAGTTTTAACTTATTTTGGAAAACTTTTTCTTTGCTAGGTTTATTAATCTTACTGGTCTTCCTAGTGGTTTTTTTGGTGATAAGAGACAGCATCATACTGCCAGGTGAAGTTAAATGCTTAAAAGTAAAACCTTCTATTTTGTCCTGACTCCAGGAAAATGCTCAATTTAAAAAGTGTGAAATATTCAAGCTAGGGGACTCATTTTTGAGCTGGCTATCAGACAATATCACATCATCTTAGGAAAATCACAGACAAAGCTAAGAGACTATGAAACCGTTCATCTGATTTAATATGGGTTCTGAACAAAATTTACTATGGGAACAAGATTTTAATGCCAATATTCAAGTATACTGCTGCAGAACAAGCATAATGTCATATCTGCAATCCAGTCAATAAGCCATTACTGTGCAATATATAGAAATCTGGAATATTCCAAGTCTGTGATCTTCAGGAGCCTTTGACCATGGAATTCCTTCTAAAGCATCATGGGCAAAGGCTGTTTAATGAGTTAAGTTAAATTCACTGAATATGAAAATAACACAGGGTATATATTACTTTATCATTTTAGCACAAGTAAGTGTTTATAGTTGCAGTACTACTGTCAATTTGTGCTCCTATTCTTGCATACTTATTTCATTTTATCTGTACTTGCATTTAACCTTTTCCTATGAGGACAGCAGCTTTTAGCCAAATTAATAGTGGAAAACTTTAATAGACAGTAGTGCATAGCTACCTACTACCAATAATATATGCAAACACAGCACTCTACTCAGCATTCTACTCAGAGTAAATTACCAACTCACAAAGTTGGCCAGCAAATCATCTTGCATCCAGATAAGGTCACTTAAGAAGGATCAGTTGGTTTCAGTAAATTGCAAGGAATTTCAACAGAAGCACAGAGACATTAAGAACATCTTGGTGCTCGTGGTTATGTTTTGAGGCAACATGCAATGATAGCATGCTGAAATGCTTGAAGCCAAAAGCACAGTATGACTGCTTACCTCTGGGCATATAAAACTACTTGTGTATTTCCATACATATACTTACTCATCAAAACAGAAATCTTCTACATGCTGAATGGTTTTATCTTTCTTTCTAAGAGAAATAACTTCTTCATTTTCAAGGATCAGTTTTCTCCAGTCTTCACATTCATCATCAGTATCTGTCTTTTGCTTAAAAAGAACAATTACAAAATTACATTTTGTACTGTGCTAGCTACTCTTCAACTATAAATATCTGTAGTCACAAATAAATTGTTGTACCATCTTCTATATATTGAAAAAAGAGCAATCTTGACTGTCATGATGTTTCTTCTGTTCAGATTTTTTGAGTGAAAATAGTTAAAGACGGTTATTACAGCACGCCAACATTCACACTAGTTATCTGAAAAAGTAATGTTAAATGAAATACAAGTTTGAGTAGAGAAGTTCTGACATTGATCATCTTAACTGATGACACCAGAAGGTAGCACTATGTAATAAAGAGGCATGAGACTGAACTCAAAAAGTTCCATCTTCTACGGACCAACAGGCTCCTAATACTTCAGTAAATAATTCGAAAATCCATTTGCTAATACAGCCCAAGTGCTCCATCTCCTAAATAAATACCCTCTTCAGAAGATTTCTAGTGGACTGTCATGAATTAGATAAACTTTGGTCATTGAAAAATACACTATCAACATTAATCTTTTTGCCCTGGTAACAGGACAATTCAATGCAAGGATCCAATAATTACTTTCTCACAGCTAAGAATCAACTGAAAACACACAAGAAAACAAAAGGGACTGAAACTTCAGAAAGTGGAAAATAATCCAACTGGATGGAAAAGATCAGATTATCACTGTCATAAAGACCAGAATATCATTATCATATATTACCCTATTGGAACAACATCTGGAGCACTGTGTCCAGTTCTGGGCTCCCCAGCTCAAGAGGGACAGAGATTTATTCGAGAGAGTCCAATGGAGGCTACAAGGATGATTCAAGGACCGGAACATCTGTCTTACGAGTTAAAACTGAGAGACCTGGGGCTGTTTAGCCTGGAGAGGAAAAGACTGAGAAGGGATCTTATTAATGTATGTACATATCTGAAAGGTGGGTGGCGAGAAGACAGGGCCCATCTCTTTTCAGAGGTGCCCTATGATAGGACAAGGGGCAATGGATTCAAACTGGAGCTCAGGAAGTCCCACCTCAACATAAAGAAAAACTTATTTACTGTGAGGGTGACAGAGCCCTGGGACAGGCTGCCCAGAGAGATTGTGGAGTGTCCTTCTCTGGAGATTTTCAAGACCCATCTGGATGCCTTTCTGAGTGATGTGCCCTAGATTGTGTGGTGGTCCTGCTCTGGCAGATAGGTTGGACTGAATGATCTCCAGAGGTCCCTTTCAGCCCCTACCATTCAGTGATTCTGTGATCATTTCAGAAGGTGCTGGGAAAAGAAACTAAACAATCATGTGTTTGCTTCTACAGAAATCGAAGAAGCCAAAAAGTATGACTGAGCACTGGACTGTTTAGTCTCAAACAGTAATATTAATACCCTTGGCACATCAGAACTGTGGAATGCTAGCACAGGTGGTTAAGTTTTAACCAGTAAAGCTGGAAAATAGAAACCTCTTTGATCTGTCAACTTACCAAAAAGAAAAGAGCATCGTCAAAATTTGTCTTGTAATAAATGATGCAAACAACCAATATTTTTTAACTGTAAAGAACATTAAAATTAGTAATTTGGAAAATTTTTACCTGATTTTCTTTAATCCAGGACAATAATCCTGAAAAACTAAAGCTGGCCCAGTTTCCACCATAGTAATTTCTCCTGCAAAGAAAAAACAACAGTGAAACTTGATGGGCAGAGAAAACATGTTTTTTTCAGGTTTAAAGAAAAATCAACCACATTTGCAGCATTCAATATATTTTCAATGACAGATTTTACAGATGCAGAATACAAAAATGGGTATAATATTTCCTAACCCTTAATGAGATGCAAAATTTCCATTCTCACTCATTTCTATGCCTCTTTGAGCAAACAGACAACGTCCAAACTCAAATTAGTTGGAGGGTAAACTGAAAAATGCTGAGAAGAGCACATGGGATGCTATAAGTAAACAGAAAATATAGGTAATACTGCTACTTGGCCATGACTGACCCTACACCTCTACCTCAAACCTTTACATCACCACAGACATCTTTACTCGGTGTGAAGCCAAGCCAATGAGTCCGCCAGTTTCACCTGAGCTCTCAGAAAAGCCAGCTGAGGTTTTTTGCAGCCATCAGCTCTGCTTTTATGATAAAGCTGCTGGGTCCTGCCAGCACCTGAAGCTGCAGAGCTACGCTGCTTCTGATCCAGGCTGACTTGGAAGTTAACGTAACTGCACTGCACACCATCTCCAAACTCTCAGTGCTTCACAAGGTGGCTATGAAGAGGAGGGTTAAGTAAACTCAAACTGCCTCCAGATAGTAGAAAACCTCTCTCACCCATTATGTAAAGTAAAAAAAAAAAGAAAAAGAGGAAAGATCACTTTATTATTGATTTACTGCTTACAGAATAGATTGTGCTTATTATAGACTGTTAAGATGCTCTGTGAAAGTATTATTAAACTTCATATGCTGTAGGTGGAGCCAAAGGAACTGATTTGTACAAAGTGATACTTCCCTGAATACTTTTCAGGGCATATTTACCACCTTCTTTCTTGAAAAATATTAGTTTACTTTTAAATCACAGAAAATTATATAGTTCTGCTGTTGATTAAAGAAAGTCTCTGCTCTCCATTTGCTATCAATATTTCTGTAAAATCATTTGAATGAATGAGCTTTTGTTATCATGCATACTACATCTTAAATATTTAACAACTCTGATAGGAAAAATAATAGACCCATTAAATTTAACAAAAATCACTAGATCTTGCAAAATAAAAAAGTAATTTCAGGATTAAACTTTTCTGAAATTTTCATTGAATACAGACAGTCCAGAACTGTGAAGGATACAAAAATACCCTCCTGAATGGATAGCTAATGTTACTGCATACACTAAAAATACACAAACATTTAAGGAAGAAGATGGATTTTGCATGTTACAGAATAACGTGAAGACTGTTCAATCAAATGAACTTAAAGTCTTCTTCCAATCTCCTCCACTTTTAAATTGCAGAGACGAGTGTGATAAAAGAAAAAAATTGAATTCAGGATTGATCCTCCTGTTTAAGATGGGGTGTTTTTGACAAGGCTTATCTGCACTGACAAAGACTTCATTAGGACTGTCAGCCCCTTCACAGTACCAGAGGGTGATGCTCTGTGCCATGGTGCTTACTTAGCGTATGAAGGACAGATGTCTGCTAAACAATGCCTAATCGCTCCTGACTAGAAATTGACCTAAAAAAGTCTTTCAGCCAGGCAGGGCAACAGGGAAGAACAGAAATAGGACATCTTTTGCAAAGACAACAAAATAAAGGATTCACTGAGTAAAGGTGGCTTCAACAACAGATGATGGTGTTTGAGGCCACAGACTGGGAGGCCTGAGCCTGAGGACCATACACCCCTGATCTGTCAGATTTCAACCTGTAAAAGGATTGCAATGACAATCTCCGGCTTTGTTTCAGCTGTCAGTAGTGCAGGTTAATTTCTTGCTGCTTCTTAAGATTCCACTATATGAAAGTTCGATATCCATTTATTATCTGCCACTTCTGGGATTTCCAAAAAACACAACCATGATGATTTATTTTTAAGAGAATCTGCTGCTTTAGTTGCAAGTCTCCTTGAATATGGAATACAATCTGGCTGTCAGAGCAAGCAAGGCCATTGATCACAGAAATGGCAGAAAACACCTGTCTAAGATTAGAACTGGGTTTCTTGAATCTAAACCAATATCAATTCATGCAGATTTAGAATATTTAAAATAAAAACTTTCAGCAACAGAAATTGATAGGTTATTGTCACAGAAAGTTACAAAAGTTTACTTGGGAGCTGTCAGACTTCTTTGATGTAAAGATGCCTTCATTCATCAGGTGAATTTCCCTTTGAAATTGCTTTTGTTTTTAAGCACCACTGATGTGAATCAATCTTTTCAACAAAGCATTGCACAGTGCTGCTCTGAAGCTCAATCAGTTCTGAGGAGGTTTGGCCTTTCTCAAATGGAAAATTAATCTCAGCTGTCCCTCCTCTCCTCTGCTGCTGGAGCACCTTTCCCAAGTCATGCTATGCCACCTCAAATATTAATCTTCTCTTGAAGCATCAACTTCCAGGTTGTCATTGTTGGTTTGTTGTTTGTTTTTGTTTTTTTTTCTTCCCTGGAATTTTAATTAGTTTACCCTGAATTACAGGATGTATCGGCATTGCTTGATTTTTTCATCAGAAAACAGGACAGAAAGAAGGTAGCCCAGACATCATTACTGAGATAACGAGCAAAGTTTTTAGTAAAAATCTTGAAGAGGAATTCTGAAAAGAGCTGAATAATGGTTTTACAATTAGGAGTCCTTTGTAACCAAATATTTCTGTTATAATTGCCCTGAAAATGAACTCAAGAATTCCTTAAAGTAATGGTCAAGATCAAAGCCTAATTAAAGCTAAAATAGCATCCCAAAATCAAGGACCATGCTCCTCTCGTCTCTTGCAGTATCAGCGAACTAAAAAGATGGATTCTCTCTCCCTTTTTGGGGCTATAATTCAACTATCCTCCAAGTAAGAACACAAAACATTTTGAAGCTACAACAACAGAGTCAGAAATTAACTTTTTTACCAAGTTATAAAGAGCACATGTTTTCTTTTTCTACCATACATTAATTCCTAAATGACAGTTGATCAAAACTTCTCCCATGTCACCTGGTATTTCACATGAATCAGAACATTGCTGCTTTTATGTCATATTTTTCAAATCTCAAACGTGTGGTTCACAGTTAATGGCAGAACTACTGGAGCCATTTTTGAGAAGTGTTGGAAAGGTAGTTTTACCTCTGCAAAAAGCTGAATTCTCTCTTCACCTACGATAGTTTGCCATTTTCCACTCTTACTAACACCACTTTTTTCCCGAATACTTGGAAAGAATTAGCAAATCCCAGTCCAGAACACTGAAATTGCGAATTGTTTACAACTAATTAACATTATTGGAATCCAAACCAAGAGAATATCTGAAGTGTCATGCTGAAGACAGAGAAGTATTTGAGAAACTGAACACTTTGGAAAGCACAAGATAATCAACTTAAACATAAATAAGAACAGAAAAAGCATTTCATGGACTATGCCTCTTCAGAAGACTGCCCTTCTCAGTGCCATGTCATAACAGCCATGGTGTAACAGTCAAAACTGGTGATGTCTGAAAAAAAAAAGCTGCTGATGCCTCATGATTGCTCCCAAGAGCTGCCTGTGTGTGTGTCTGTCCTGCATTTGATCTTTGGAAAGAAGTCTTGAACCATCAGAGCAGCTGTCTTTTGCAAAGGAAGTTACTGCCACATCGATTTTAAGGACCTGAGCACAAAATTACTTCTGTTTCAAAGCCATAAAGTTTCATCTGCTACCTACTGAGCACAAAGTCACATGTATTAAAAATTCCCATTGTGGCAGAGTAATCGTGTTTCAGAGCATGAAAAGTGGACTCAGCTTCCTTGCCTCCCAAGAGGAAGAGTTTAACCCAAACAGCTCTTGAGATCCTTCAGCTCAAAGGGTAAAGGTGGGATTCACTTGTATTACATGACATTAAATCTTGGGATATGAACATGACCAAAGGTAATTATCATAGACCAGTTGTTACCATGTTTTTCTCTCTAATTCCTTTGCTATGCGATCATATCCTAAACCAAAATAAATCAAGCTTTTTCAAAAAAGGACAAAAGATACTACAATTAAGAAGTTTTGCCTAGGTTCCCTTACTCAAAGTGAAAGAATTCCTCCATTTTTCTTGAAAGAAAGTGACCTTTGAGAAGCAACCTTTCCCCTCTCTGGTTGCTACCTCACTTCACAGAAGCTAAAGATCAAAACGAAGGCTAGATGGAAGCATGGCTTGTATTACATGATACAAGTTCTGAAAGAAGTGAGACAGATTGTCTAGCAAGGAGTGGAACAAACTACAAAAGCAGGTATGTTGGGGGTGGTGCAGGGAGGGTGCCCAGCATACTTTTGGATGCTCAAATAGGATGTTGGACACATGGAACACTCAAGTACTTCACAGGCAAACTAAGGTCAGAAAATGAGACAGGTCACAGGTGTCAAAATGCAAGACATGAGAAACATAGAGCAAACTGGGCACAAAAAAGGAAGTAAAATCCTGCACCTTGATCCTCCTTTACTTTTGAATTAAATTCTACATGAAAAGACAAGTCAGCGAGGAAGGATGCAGACAATGAAACTATAGTCTATAAATGCTATATTCTAGATGCTGAAAATCAAATACAAAATGTAGCTAAACATACCTCTACCTCTAACTGCCCCATCCTCAGTAAACAAAGTGTCATATGATTATATAGATATATAAATAGAAGAAGGAAATAAGCAAAGGACATAAAGCAGAAAGCACAGCAAGCCATCAGGAGAAAAGTGCTATGCATATAAGCTATGGGAAGTATACTCATTTCAAGCAAACAACTTTTAGTCTTGATCTACCTTTCTTCAGCACCTTCAAGTTTAAACCAGGTGTCAGTCTCCACATTTTTAAATTGCAAATTACTTTTCTAAATCACTTAACAAATATCCTTGAAATTTCACATGCCAACAGCTCATTAATAGCTACAGTAAATGTAGCTCTCTGAAAAGAACCACAGATTTTACGTTTATTGAGACAGATAGCTGGCAGAGAGAAATAGAGCTCCTTCAATTACTATTTGGCAGAAGCTAACTTTAGTTTAAAATCCGTCTACAGGAATTTATGACAACACTGTAGTGAAGTGACTATTTTGAATAAGATTAGCTGCTGTTGATGGCAATGCTTGGACAGTGTTTATAAATCAAACTTAGAACTTAGTATTTTATAACAGGCCACTTCAAAACTATTTTCCATAATCACCTATGCAGTATATTATGATAAATGCAAACATGACTGGAGATTAAAAGTAATAAAATGATGTACACGAGGTAATGAGACTAGCAAACTATAAACAAAAACTTTATCCACAGAAGGTTTCTATACCCTGTGTCTAACTTAACTCAGATCTTTGTAGAGAACAGAGGATTATTCAAAGTAGCACACCTAGTATAAGCAGGTGTTTCAGTAACTCCAAATCATGTTTTCTTATACTCTGAAAAAAAATGTAAACACATGATACTTCAAGAAGGGACAACATGTATTGTTAAAAAGTGATACTCTGAATATTAACTGATTTTTTTTTGTTGATGAATTTTCAGTTATACTGTTACTTCAGTAAATCCATCTAGAAATGAGTATATTAAATTAGACATATAGTAGATAAAATTATTATTTTTTTTTTAAATTATGATGAATCTCTGGCAAGTTTTCTAAGACTGAACTTTTCACTTAAAATTCAAGTGGCATCAGGGAGGGGGTTTTCTACATGTTTTGGCATGGTTTTTTTTGCAAGAGTACTAACTTAACCATGTAAAGTGGATGTCCTGAAACACTCCCCTATTTATGGAGAAGGGATTGTAAAGCATACACTTTTTTTTTTTTTTTTCCCCAAGATAAAGATTTTAGACTGTGATTCAGTGAGGACATACACACTTTAAAACTGCAACTCTTAATAAGAGTGAGTAACACCTTCCCCTGACCTCAGCCAGCCCTAGAGTCAGAAATTAACACCACAGAAGAAAGGAATCAAATGTGGAAGGCTTCAATTTCACCATAAAAACAGAAAGGTGTGAATGTAAACGAGCATATTTAAATGAAAACAGTAATAAACAAAATCTGTATTTCACAGTTCTAATTGCCTATAAGTTTTCTGAAAGGCTCTTGGCCACAGCTAAAAATAGGCATGGATAAAAGAAATCAAGTTCCAGTGTCTAAGTATTATTACAGACTTTGACAGCCAATTAATATGAAAAATTGAAATAACAAAAGCAGCCCATTTAACAAAATCTGAGCAGTTTACCAGTAATATATACATTATGCTTTAAATCCAAATGTAATTATTTTATGCATTTTAGCTCTGCTTACTCTAAAACAATGTTTTAAATATCTTGGTTAGCAATCTAGTAGCCAAACTAAGAATTACTGTACCAAAATGTCTGAAATTAACATACCTTTATATATTACATGAGGTGTTTATAGTGATGTCAGTAAGATCTGTGTGAGCTGCACCTAAACATTCTGGTTGCCACTGTGGCAGAACACCCATCACATTTTCCAGTATTTCACTACTATGTAGTTGCACGTTTCTTTAAAATCATTACCATCTTAAAAGCTTTCTTTCAATGGAATCATTAAGCATCAAGTACTGCCTTGCTGGGTACTACCTCACTGTGATTTAAAATACTATAATATCAGCCCATTTAAGAACTTTTTTCCTTGCAGGTTTTGGAAGCTTTCCATAGGTTCTCAGAGTTCATAGTGCCTGAAAATTCATTAAGATTAGTTCTTAATCCAAAAGTCCCCCTCTTGATAAAACCTACTGTCCTCACTCCAGTCCAAGACATAAAGCCAGAGACTCTGTGGGCAGTGTAACAGCAACCTGAGCAACTCTAAATCTTATTTCATGCAACCAAGTCAGTGAACTAGTCTTGCAAATTTTGAAATCATATATGATTTCAAATTAGAAATAAATGCATGAAAAATTAATAGGTCCTTTGAAGGGCTGTAGGCAACAGAGATTACAGAAGTTTAATCTTGAACTGAAGAAGTTCAGATAAAATGAACAGCAGAAAACACATTATTTTTAAGCGCTTGGTATGAGACACAAGAAAAACTGACAGCATGTAAACTGCCTCTGGAAAACTTTCTTAACTGGGTGGCAGACACACAGGTGTGTATTACAAGAACTTCCAAAGTAAGGTAAGAGCTTAAAATTATGGTGTAAAAATAAACCACTCTGCCAACTTTTGGCAAGCACGTACTAACAATCAGAGATCTAAGCTCACAGCACTTTTGCTGCTACTACCATTTCTCAACCACCTGCCAAAACTGAGCTGGAGAAGAGGTCACAGGTTTCCCTGAAACTAGTCCCCATATATAGGCTTCTGTTGGTAACTAACAGAGCTATGATTTTACAGTTAAACACATAATTTTTTTTTCTTCCACACTTCAGGTCAAATTTTACCAAATTATCAATTTCAGTTGCATGCCCAAGTATTTGCTACAGCTGAACTACATAAATTTGTTTAACTTTAGAAAATGATGATGCATTTTAGGCTATGACATGATTTAGAAGCAGCAGGGTTGCTTCGGTAGTCCTAGTATCCTGCTTATGATCCTCCCTCAAAACCATACAAGCCCAGAAAACTGCATAACTGCACTAACAATGAGACTGAAAAAGTAGCAAGGGGACAGGAGGCAGCTACGATCAAGATCAGTGGCACTGCTGCAAAAAACAAAAGCAATAATCTGTATAATCATACCTTGATCTCACATGATGGACTACAGCAGGCACAGCAGCAGGTGTCTAGCACAGAAACCTCACACAATACATTTCATTTGTTATCTTCTAGAAAAACACAGACCCCAAAAGCTGCTGAGTAATGATGGATCATCTCAGAAGAGTTCTGACAATGTTAGTTTTAAAGTGATAGATGGGAGGGAGGGGTATTTTAAAAGTTGTCTTGGTCAGCTGGGACTCCAGCACTGGATCTCAAGATCGCCTTGGAAACCCTATCTCTAGACCTGAGTCACACTACTGCATTTTGCTGAGCAGGTGAACAAACAAGCCAAGGTTCAAAGATCCTTATTTTTTCTAAAAAACTGTGCATCGTAGTGTATTGTTACACAGCTTAAAAAACCAAAAAAATTAACTCTTAAAAGGACTCAATGAAACACACTACTCCAAGTGCTTCAGCAAATCCTTCTATTTCAACATGCAACAGAAGTACTTTTTGACTCAAGTGATTTCAGTGGTATTCTGTAATCTTCTTAGAAACTGATTCAACATGGGATTAAGAGAGGAAAGCCAATAAAAGAGTGCTGTGTAATCTCCTGTCTTATCAGCCAGATTTCATTCACCTTCTGATAACAATTAAAATGCAAAAACACTTGCAGTAACTTCTCTAGGCACTGAGAACTAATAAAAAACATTTTGTCATTAAGTGTTCATGGCTCAGGTTAAAAAAATCTCACAGAAACAGAACGGGATCATTACTGCCAGAAATACTAACAAAAAGAACTAAACCTGTGACCATTCCTGTCTATAGGAAAGGAGGAGCCACCAGCAGCATTTGTGACCACATCACTTCTGTTCTGAATTACCGAGCTAGGATGCAAAAACTGCCTGTTCTACTGATGGAAATAACACCCCAAAATTCAGATAGAGACAGAAGCATAAAATTACTTGATGCTAGATGTACAGAGAACACAAGCCCTGAAGGACACACTGACATAGACAGATACATTTCTAGCCACTTTAACTCTTAAATGGGGAAATTATTGGTGTAACTTACGAATCAACGTGAAGAACACTCTGGCCACTTCTGGCACATGCTGCTGCAACAATAGATTCAGGCAAACCTGAAAGGATACATGCAATTTTTATAACTTAGTTTGCTAACACATCTTAAATAGAAAAGAAATAATGTGAGTACTTGGCAAGAAACAGGCAATTAAAAAAAAAAGTTTAGAACGTGAGTCACTGAAATTTTGAATACTCTCATCCTACTGAAATATTAACACTTTTGTGTTCATTAACATTTTGCTATGACCCTCTTGAATGCAACACTTTTTTTTAATAGATGCTTGGCACATCACTTGCCAACACAACTACCTGAGTGAAAGCTTGTCACCAGTGCCTTCTCTAGACACCTTGTTATCATATACAGAGCATTTGCCAGCACAAGACCCACAATTTAATGGGACGCTTTGTAACTGTATCCCTCCTGATACACACAGATATCACCTGAAGGCATTCTTGTGGTTTGTTGTGTTTTTTTCACTTCAAAGTTTCTGACATAACATGAAGGCTGTGTAACAATCTATAGAAAGGCATTTTAAAATTAAGAAATTTATGATAAATGCTGAGTGCCTGGTACACTGTCCAAGGATACAATGGAGAGTGTGAGGGGATAAACCTGTTGGGATGGTGAATGTGTCCAGCAGAGTCCAGACAGTGCTGTCTCCTCCATATCATCTGCTGGCAAACATCTCTACCATGAACAGGTCTCAGAGCTGTACCTGGGATTTGCTTCCAATTGAACTAATAGGTTTGCTCCAAAAGAGTGCCTAGGAGCACACTCAACATTCTGCATGCAGACCAAGACCTAAGTGTAAATAGCAAAGGCAAACTGACAGTGCAGGTGTACTTTCACTTCACATCTATGGGTAATGTTAGGGACGGAACGAATCTGAGATGGTTGTCCTTCAAATGGCACCAAAAGCAATGCAATTATGCTCTGTCAAATCAGTATGTTTCTGCATCTTTAGAGAAGATAAGTAGTAAAAAAGAGGCTAGTTATATTTCTCTACCAGAAACACCTGCTTGCAATGGCACATGATACCACTTGGAGGTTTAATAAACAAATGAGGCTGTTCTCTAACTTCCACTCCCACTCACCAGATTTTTGCATGCACAGTTAGATGACTTGGATTCCTGACTAGATTCAGAAAAGATGTATAGCTCACCACCTTAAAGACTGTATGGTACTAGCTTTGCTGAAATCTCTTTTAAAGTGATCTACTGGCTGTTTAGGTAGGTAATCCGCTAAAGCAATTAAAAGTCCAAGAGACTGGTATCAGGAGCCACCTAAGCTAGGTATTCAATGATGGGATGAGACTAAACAAAGTGAAAGGAGTGTTTCACTGATCTGATTTACAGTACCAGAAGCAGCTGTGCTAGTACAACTGAAGAGACTGAACTGGAATTGGAAAAAGCAGGTGTGGTAGGGCACAAAGTTCTTAGGTGAGCTTCACATCAAACCTCACTTTCATGAGACTTTCAGGCTTGCTTCTTCAGAGGGGACACTGCCTTCAAACATGAATGGTCAGCACGGTGCCAATCTGATGATTCATTGAAAACACATAATGCAATACATTAAAGATTGCTGGACAGCTATTTACTACTTGTATGGTAACAGCTTTCACTTATCTAGAGTAAGAAGCTGTTAGACTCTAACGGTATATTTAGTACTCACCAACAGAAACAAATACTTCCAAATGGTTGAGCTAGCCTTTTTAATTCTAGAACCTAAAATGCTGTATAGAAAGCACCCAACAGGACCAGAAAATTGTCAGGGAAGTTGTAGCTCTTTTCCCAGAAAATTTGTTATGCCAGTCTTAACCTCCTTTCTATTGATACAAACTTCCCTGACAATTTTCTGGTTTTAACACTATTTTTGATGGCTTAAAAAAAGAAAATCCCTTTCTGAATTGATACAACAGCAAAGTTTTCCACTGCTGGCTTCCACAGCAAGCGAAGACTTATCATGTAATTAATCTCTAGGGCTAGAAAGAGGGATGAACTATTGTATCAGCTCCTGGGACATTTGCTTCACAGCCTAGAAAAGCTGATAGTCTTTAGAGTTGAATTTTTGGAAGTAAGAACTGAAACCCCAGACCATTCTGAACAAAGAGACAAGGGGAAAATATATAACTGCAGCACAGGCTTCAGGACTGTCACAATATCCTGGATGCACACAGTTTTATTATGTGAAAGCAACTCCACATCCAGCCATCCTCTGAAAGTGCTTATATACACGTCATGTCTCTCCATCTATAAACTATCTGGAATGGAATCTACAACAACTATTTTGTTTATAGTTCCTGAAAAAGGTTTTCTTTCCCTTATTTGGGCACAGAGAATATTACTCTGGAAATGGAATTGAGAAACTTGTTTCTCCTTCCTTATTGATAAAAGCCACTGAGAAAGTGTTGTAAAACATCACCAGTGCTGCCTGGCTGACCAGGACTGGAGTTATAGCTACTAGGGCATAACTGATTGCTTGAGGCTTGATCCAATTGATACTGTGTTGGAGGTCTGTTCTTCCATTAACCTTGGATGAAATTGTTCCCTGAATTAGCTTCCTCGCTCTTGAAAGCTGGCATCAATTTTCTTCACCAATCCTTTGCTTCCAAGATACTATGGCCCCTAGAGTACCCACTGGTAACAGAATGAGAAAGTGTAAGAAAGGCAAAGTCCACGCACTTCAGCTTTTGGAGAGGCTCTGAGAACAACTCAATGGAGTAAGACACCATTTGTTCTTCCATGACAAAACCTTGGTAAACTAAAGAAATAAGGCTGTGCTTTGGCACCAGCTTCTGAATTCTCTTCTCCAACAGAAATAAAACCACATAGAAAATAGGTAGCTTTGTCAATGCAAGTTACTGCTCCATGTCAGCCAGACTGCATGGCAGCTACTTTACAAAAGCCTTTGCCAAGAAAGAAGGCTCTGGTAACCAGACTATTATAATAGTTAGAGACAGTCCATGTTTACTCAAGGAAAAAAAAATAATTACCTTGGAAAAGCTTCCATAGAGAAATGGTAGAGATTTATTTAATGATAGCACATGAAGCTGAACTATCTCCTACAGGATGGTCCCACAGTTGTTCAAAATAGGCCCCCTTCAGATTGTTCAGTACCAGAGACATACACTTTTTTAGAAATTGTTCCTATTTAGAAACAGTTTCCTATTCTGAGTTTTGATTTGTCAAAAACTCTAAGCTGGATAACATTCAGATTTTGTAATATGTTCAGACCCGAGCTACAGGGCAGAGCAGACGCCAAAACTTGCTCACAGTGTGGTTTGAAGATAATGATTTACTACAGAATTGAAGTGATTGCAGAGGAAAGGCTCTATCCACAATATTTATTCTGAAGCTTCACTTACACCTAATGAGTAAATAAAGCTGGGTACCTGCAAACTGTTTTTCTTATGAAACTTACTTCCTACCTCTTAGGGAACAGTCAGCTTCTGTTTTGCCAGCTTAAGGGATGAAGGATTTAGCAGTACAACTTGTCTCACCCATGATGTGTAATGTTTCTGAACAGGCAGTTGAGGTATGATTTGGATCCAGTAACTTGGATCAAACAAACAGCAACATCTAAATTATAATCTATGTTCCCTTTTAGATTCTAAAAAGAAAAAAAAAGTTCTAAGATTGTACTGCTATCAAAATCAGTAATCAAATTACTGAATGATCAAGAGATTTGCCCTCTGGCATAACGCACTGGAAACGTCTGCAAGAGACTCCACAACTACTTCAGAAACAGCTGCAGCACCAGAATGAAGGAACCCAGCAAGCAGGCAGCATAACCACTAGGTTTGTGACAATCTCATGATGAAGGGTAGAGTCCCCTTTGGACAGCACTGGTTAGCACTGCCAGCTGTCTACACATGATCTCTATCACAGCCTTCTTGGATACATAAGAGGCAGATTAATCTCAATAAATCTTACAGATGTGGCTGCTACAGGCTGACCTTGAAATCTACATCTGGTTGTTTCCAGCAACCTCTGACCAACATAAAACGTGAATTTCTGGACCTTCCCTATGGGGCAAAATCAGCCATACTTTCATTTTCACCAATAACGTGTTTTACAAGTAAATAAGCAAGAATTAGAGGAATTAGCTACACGTTACATACACTTATAAAGATACTAATTCTACTTTCAGTTTCAATACAGCAAAATTAAAATTAGATATAACTGCTAAGCTAGAAAGCTCTTCAGCTTTAAAAGCCAACTGATTTTAAAAGCTTTACAAAATAATTAAAAGTTATAATTCACCTCTGTGTAATCACAAATTAATTTCAGGCTTATACATTGTGTCCCTTCAAATGAACAGCTATACAAAACTCTATAGCAAATCACTGCCTCTTCGAGTGACTTCAAATGGATACATTCACTGCCCCAAGCAATTCATAAACTAAACAGTTTCATCTGTGTAAAACCATCTTAGTTCCCGAGTTGTTCACTGTAAACTATTTCCCAGTCATCCAGCTGATAAGCTTTTTTCCACAATTACCCAAGCTTCATCTTGAAAAGGTTTAAATGTTTAATTTGCTTCACTGTATCTACTAAATAAATCACAAGTGGCTTTTTCATAATAGAAATTGCTGAAAGGAACTATATTTAAAATGCTGGAACATAGACCATTTCAAAACAATCTTCCGGAGTCAGACAGTTCACCAAGTGCAATAAATTTTCTTTGCATCCAAATTTTTAAGAAGAGCAGCTGATTCTGGAGAGGTTCGTAACACAATCTTCATGGTATGTTTTCCATTTATGTAGAACTTCAAAGGTATTTTATAATTCATTTGCAAATGAAGTGCTTATATTATATATTTTCAGTAAAAGCTAGCTAATAAAAATTGATAATAGGTTTGAGTATTTTTATTATATGCTTATATTGCAGAATAGTATCAGAAAATATGTTTGCATTACAGAACATGGTAGTGATATAGAAATGACACCCACTAAAACAAGTAAGAAACTACAACTGGTCAAGAAAGGAGCCACAAGTTTCTTATCTGTGTATCATCAAAGTAACATGGCAATGAAAAACAGGGAGTTCATAGCT